CGCCTGTGACAGGACTGCCCTTGTCCCCGCTTCACCCACCCGCCGTCCTGGGCTAGATGTCAACGGGAAAGCTCTTTATTTCCCGCTTTTTCCTCGCGCCGAAGGGAGTATCTTGACGCCTCTTGATTTAAACCGCGCGGCGGCGCCCATCGTCACCGGCACCAACTTGTACTTCGGCCCTTCCTTGACGTCCTAGAAGGGAGGGTGAAGCTGCGCTCCCATTTGGTAGATTGTACACCCCCCCCCTCCCTGTATTTGAAGGGGAGGGGAATCACCTTCGTTTAAAAATCCATTCTGCTTAAACGTCTAAAAATGCAAAGCAAAGGAGAGGATATCCTCATCATTGGGTAGTATATAGACCGAGTGCTGCAGGGCAGGCCTACTGTAGCGGCTTTTCTGCTGAGGAAAACAGGAACACCGGAGACTATTACAGGGCGAATTCTCCACAGCGAAAGGAGACGAGGAGTGGGGATTATTCAACGCGAAACTGCTGCAAACGGGCAGCTTTCCGGGAAGGGGAAAATGAGTCTGCTTCTTGATCCTGACTGCAGAGGGTCCAATGTTTACAAGAACTCTTCCCCCCGCCCCCAGCCGCAAATCTCATCCATTTGAAGCAAGTTGCTTACCTGCTATCACTTGCAAAAAGATATTGCTAGAAATTAGTAGAAATTTCAATCTCCTCTTAGGTTTATTTTTAAGGCCAATTTCTAGGATGATGTAATTGAACTTAAAACCACTTCATGGATGATATATAAAAGGGATTTCTATACATAACCGGTGTTTGCTCAGATACAATTTTTTTAAATCCACACTCAGGATAACTATTGGGAGAAGGACAACTCTAAAACAAATTTCCCCAAACTGCTGCCCTTCCAATGTAAACCCTATGGTGTCCTAGATTGTAGCATATTCTACCAAAATAATGGGAGATTATTGATATACAAAATCATAATTAAAAAAAACTTCACCAGACTCAGGATTACTATTTTCTATTCCAAGATGTTATTTGGACACTTGAAATGTGTTTTTTTTTTAAATTTTCACCTCTCAAGTTATTCAATACCAAATAAACCACTCAGAAGCCTTATCAGGTTTGAAATATTATGTCTTATATATACTCATATTGTTTTTGATATAATTTTACCAAAATGAGGTATCAATCAAATTAATAAAAATACAGATGACACACTATTTCACTTTTTCATCTACCAACAGGGAATCTGTTACTCTACTCAGAATTGGTTGTGAATTAATAAAATTATCCAGATAGGACAGAGGTATGCCTGTCCGCAAGCAGATGGATTTGTAATATAATTTCAGATTGTTTTCATTAAAGGAATTCTTCAACTTTCCTCTAAACCTAGGTTTTAGAGTGGAAGTATTTCTGGATTCAGCTTTTTATCTGTTGGCTCAGATCTGCATGCTTGCCTTAGTACATCTAGATTGGATTATTACAGGATGCCCTTCTTGGGGCTATTTGGAACAGCCTTCAGAAACTGCATGGGGTTTAAAATGCAGGAGCAAGAAAGTTAGTGAAAGCTTGCAAGTAGAATTGCATTCAGTATGGTCTATCTTTGCTATCTGAATACTAATTGTCCCAATCTTAAGAGACCTTTTGTAGCTCTATTTGGTATTGTTTTAATGTAAACAATTACTGAATGGCATCAACAAACTGGGCCAACTCCAAGGCATTTGAAAATAAATCAGACACCTACATGAGGTGTTGGTTCAATCCAGGCAAAACTAAATGACTTTGCAACTACATTGCAGTAGTCCAAAAAGGAGAACACAAGGACATGAGTGACAGTGAGAAAAGCCTCACTGTGGGGTGAGGAATTGGTGCAAGTTGGGGAGCATTCATATGCTTCAGCGGGTATGGAACACGGCTGAACAAGTTGCTCCAATCTGTAATGTTAACTATTTGACACATAATATTACTGTTTTGGGGGCCAAATGGTTGCCAGTGTACTTCCAGATGCAATTCAAGATCCTGGGTGTCACTTTTAAAATCCTTCATGACATGGGACTGGGTTACCTAAGGGATGGTCAGTCCTCATCCAGATGTTTCTGCCCATCCAATCCAGTCTCAGGAATGTGGGCTGGTGGAGACCAGGAGATGTCTCTTCTCTGCCATAACCATTGCCCTCTGGAACATTCACTCTCTAAAGGAGCGGTCCCCAACTTTTCCAACTTGGTGACCTGGCATGGGGTGAGGACAGGGATTGTTCTGGGGAGTAGTAGGTGCACATGCGCATGCGTACAGCTCCATTTGTGCAAAAGTGGTCATTATTCACCACCCAGAGTCACTGGTTTGAAATGGGTGGCTATACAAATTGAATGAATAAATCAATTAATCCCATTATGTATGTTTGGTGGACGTGAGCATCTGTTAAAAGATACTACTTTTAATCTGTTAAAAGATTCCTACTTTCCTCTTTTCTTTAGTAAGAGTTCATATCTTCTTATACAATATCCATCAGATTTGCTCAGAGATTTGTCAAGCACTTTGTCAATAAATTTTTAAAAGTCCAAATATTGTTTACCAGATCATTGTTATCAATGTATTTGTGATTCTCATAAAAAAACCCTGAAGCTGATTGATGGTATATGAATTACCAGAATTGTTATTAAAAATAATAATTATATGGAATTGTGCAAGATTTTCTTCAGGATTCCCACTTTAATTAAAAATACTGACATCTGATCCATTTTTGCTAGCAGAAATGTAGGTTTGCTTTCCTTACAATGGATATTTTTAATTTCTCCCCAATATATTTTTTTGTTAATAGTTTATGGCTAAAAATGTCATATGGTTGAATTCAGTGAGTAGTTATTATTAGTTGCAATATTTAATTACAACATTTACATTTTGCTGTACTTTAATTCAAAACTAGATTATCTTCCTCCATGTCTAGGTATCTTAAGTGGGAAGAAAGCTCACATAAATGAGTTACGTTTCTAAATAGAAATATATAGGCCTATATTTTTTACTAAAGACCAAACTAAACTAAAAGTATTTAATGTGTAGCTGATAATTTAGTGAAAATCAAGTATGCAACTTTACACAAATCTATCTGTTGCTCCTATAGGTAGTCAAGCTGCTCTGCTTAGCATTATGTATTGACTTTAACTGATTATTATGCAGAAAAGTTTCAGAGTCTTAGGATGGAATAATGTTATATATAGTACTATAGTGGAGACACCTCTTAACATGATGTTCCATTGTCCATCCACTAGCTTTGCCCATGGAAAGTTCCACTTCTTTCCCCTCTGCTTCTCCACTCCACCCTCTAAGCTCCAATACCATAATTAAATTTACAGAGGTAAAAGCAGAGAAAGTTGTAGCAAAAGCAAGCAATAGGCTAGAGGCAGAGTGGGGTGGACAGCTGCTGCTGACTAAACTTCTTTCCTTATTAAATATTACCTACAGTCAAAGAAGTGATATTTTCAGGAGATTTTTTTTCTTTCCCTTATAAACCTTATTCATTTAATTGGAGTTCTTTTTAAACAAATGTTGCCACTGTACATATGTTCTATATAATTAAATCTAATTATACAACTAAATTAATATTAATAATATATTAATTTAGTTCTTTGCAGATGTTGACAATATGTGGGCAACAATGTATTGGCCCAGAACTCATTAATAGACAATATATGTTTGCCCATTATGCTTTTTCCTTTTGGGGTAAGCATTATGCAAAGCAAGGAAAAAAGGAAAAAAAGAGTGAGAAGTAGTGAACAGATATTAAAGGCAGGAAATGGGAGAGAGAAAGAAAAGAAATCTTGCACAAAGAAACATTTTATATATCTCAAAATATTTTATAAATGAGTGAATTTTGTTAAGCATTTATATCATGGGTACTAAAATTAATACATTTGAAATGTTTGTTTTTAGCACTTTGGGAGTCTGAGGGGTGCCTTCCAGTCAATTTTGACCCCTGAACTGCCTGGACTAGCCCTTGCGGTTTCCTTGGGGAGATTTGCAGAAGTGGTTTGCCTTGGCCTCCTTCCTAGGACTGAAAGAAAGTGACTGACCCAAGGTCATCCAGCTGGCTTTGTGCCTAAAGCAGGACTAGGATTCATATCTCACTATAGCAAACTGGCTCTTCTATTTCCATCACTTGGCTCATCCTAAATCTCTGCAAGAACAGAAGAGCAGCTATAGTACTGTTATTCTTCCCAGTGTCAGCAGAGGGAAAGTGGGGAAGAAGTCTTGGTTATGTCAAACACATGTGATAGTAGCACGAAGCAGTTCTCCCTAGTGAGTCGGATTGAACTACCGAGCTAATACACCTCGGAAACTTCAAGGCTCATATTTACTATAATCCGATCCAATGGCTTTAAGGACCCGCCCATTCTTTGCTTTTTCTTGTAATTTTTCTGATAAATTTTACTTCTCAAATTTAAAGTTTCTGTCTAAAGGTTTAAATATTGTAGAGAGACTTAGATGCAGCAACAGAAGCCTGTGAATTAAGCTCCTTTGTTTTCCCATTCTATTGAAAGAAAGGAGAAATGCACCTTGGTACTAATTTCTATCCATAATAGATGATGATTCCCACTGGTGATTCATAACATCCTCCCGAAGCCTCTTTAGTGATATAAAGCCGATGCACGTAAGTACTGGTAATACACCACCAAAAGTGATGCCTGGATTACGCTATAAATCTCTAGGTTAGTCATCTCTCTTTTTTTTTTTTTACGGGAGAAGTAAAAAAGCGCCTAAGCATTTAAAAATCTAATTAATGCATGAAATTAAAAAATTAAAAATAGGATCCACTTTCGATAAACAGTAGGAGCACTGGAAGCTTGAGAACAAAAATCTTCCAAGGGCATTTGCAGCCCCGCCGCTCCAACGCATAAAGCTTGGGAAAACAGCGATCTTTTCCTCCATTCAACTCTACGTACCCGCAAAACCTTAGCCCAAAATTCCATCTCTGTCCGATAAACCACGCCCTCGGCACAGGCTCCTCCCTCTCTAGCCGCCCCGCCTCCATTCGGAGAGTCACTTGGGGCAGAATCGAAGAAATCTCGTTTGTTTTCCTTTCTTTCTCTCTCGCGCGGAGAGTGACGTCACAGGGACGCACAGATTCGGGAAGGAGGTTTTAAATCAGCATGTGCGGGGGCTGCGTGAAGACGGAGTACCCGCCTCGGGTAAGGGGTGGGGGGGGGGCTGGCTTTCTATAGGGCAGGGGAAGGGGGTGCAGCCACGTTCCCTTCCCTTTGTCTTGGCTTCCCTATTCCTTGACTTCCTACGAAGTTTGCCCCCCCCTCCCCTTACCAGGGAGTAGATGAGACCCAAAGCAGGCAGTCTGCAGGCAGAATTAATTTCTCCCACGTTCTGTGATGCCTTTATTAAGACCAGCCAAAATGACACCAAACAGTGGACAAAGTGCAATACTAATAAATATATTCCCGGATTTTTTTTTCCCACTTTGGAATTCTCCCCCAGGGCGAAATAAAGTTAAGAATCCTTTTTGTTTGTTTGTTTGTTTTGGTTAAGTTTTTTTTCCTCATTCGAACCTGTTGTGGTTGAAAAGGATTCTTATAGATCTATGTTATACCTGTGGTGGGCTCTCATTTTCTGCCAAGAGGATGCAGGCCTTAAATTGCCAGCACTTTCTACTCTGTTATACTACACAGCTTCCAGTATTTCTATTGAGTCGTTTATTATATGGGATTCTGGGAATTGTAGTTCACCAATGGGGGGGAATAGACAACGTTTCTCTCCTAACATGTACTGAGTAATAAAAAATTCTCGAGAAAATGTTTTTTTTCCCCAATATCTGTGTGCTTTCAAGTCAGTTTTTGATTGCTTGGTGACTACTGGGGTGGGGTGGGGCAGAGAATCTTTCCCCCCTCCCCAGGTTGCCATTGCCTCCACCCCAGGGCTAAGAGAAAGTGACTGGGCTAAAGTCACCCAACTGGTTTTGTGCCTGAGGCAAGACTAGAACTCACAGTCTCCCAGTTTCTAGTCTGGTGTCTTAATTGTTATGTAGAATGACTATAAAAGTTATGTGTTTTCAAGAAACTCTGCTAATGATGTGCGATAGGAAATATATTTTCTATTTCTAGTCTCTAAAAGTGAACTGTTCAAAAGATACTTTAACATTATATCTCTAGGTTATGTATGTGTTTTTTTATTTTAACTGTATTTCTCAATGTAATGTTGAAATTATTGACTTGACATCAACCAAACAGAACCATTGCACATTGTATTGAGGAATAAATTGAAAATCAGTAGTACATTTAAAGCCAGAGATGTGCCAGCTGATTAGAAAATTTGAAAAATGCAAGAAAATGACCTCAGTAAAATACAGGATTGTTCTAAGTGGTAGATTGATTGCAGAGTATATGTTATAATCCAAAAAGTCTTTGGTGGCATTATTGTTGTTGTAGTCATTGTTTACTGTAATTTCTCTCTCTGGAATGGAAAAGAATATACCACAGAAGAAACAGTATTTGAAAACTAGGGTCAAGTGGGTTGTTAGATGGATTGCTTGTTTTTGGTATAACTTGTTAAATAAGACTTTCCTTTTTTAAATTATGGTTTATAATATTAAGTGTGAGCCCACATAGGGAGAAGTCAGATTTTAACAGCTTACTATATTATTGTTTAGAACGCTGCTTTGAAATCATTCTATCTGGAAGAAGGTACGTATGGAAATTAGGGCTGGGAGAAATCTGCCAGAATTTCTCATATGTAGAATAAAATAACCAATGTGGAGTACTTAATTAGCTTCTATGTGTTTTTTCTAATCATAATCACTCCCTTGATTGATTTTTTAAAAATATGGGAATTTCTGAATGTAGAATTCTGAAATAATTTGTAAATTTGGCTCTTAAATCAATTTAAGAAAAGATCACTGGCTGTGTTAACATATTCCCCCACCTTTGAACCTTTTAGGGTACTACTTGCTTGGAGAATGGATCTTATTTAATGAACTATGTTGGTTGTATTGAATGCAAAACACGGGATTTTGTGATGATTGTGAACAAAGCAACAGAAGAAGAGGATGGAGAGGAAATTATCACTTATGATCGTAAGATGGCCAGATTCTTCTGTTGTTTATATGGGTGTTCAGAACCTGTATCCAGAAATTTACTGTTGAAAGTTAAATGTGTCTAGACATGCTTTTATATTTGAGACATGTACACATGTATTTCATTCTCATAATTAAAACAAAATGGTAATGAATTGTTATCACAGTTACCTAAATAATGCACTTCAGGATTCTGGGCTATGTCCAGTAATACCTGACTGCTAACAGTTGAGGCATAAGGGTATAGTAAATGAATTTATTCTTCCTGTTCTTCAGCAGAATTTAGGAATATGGTGGTGTACTACATGTAATTACAAAAGAGAGGACCAAAACTTATTTTCAATTGATCTTTTTTGATACTATTTGGTCAAAATAATTACATTACTGCCTTCTGATTTCCCAGTCTGGTCTACATTCCTCGGATTGCTTAATGGTCTCACAGTAAAAATATTAATTTTATTTTATTCTGTTTGGCTTTTGGAAATCAGCTAACACTAGCTTGATGCTACCGTCAATTTTTCTATGTAATGATTGCTTGTTGCCCTGAAAGAGTGCCATAGACACATTTTAAACAGATTAATATTCTTTTGCAACAGCATCCCATGGCTGAATGTCTCCTAGCCATGTTGTTTTAATGAGCAGACAAGTGTCTACTTGTATTGCTACTCCTTCCTGCTTCTCTATATTGCCACTTGTGCTCAGTTTCCAGGTATAATCCTGTATGTCTTTTGCTTTTTCTTCTACTGTATTACTTTTTAGTGAACCAATGTGCAATGCCAGAACATGCCAATTCTCTCATTTTTTTTTCATTGAAGCAATAGCAACGAATGTTTTAGAGAAGTGACGATAGTAGGAATAATCAATAAAAGGAAATTGGGGGGGGGGCAGAGTGAGGAAAGGTTGAGCTTTCCATAGATTATACCTTTTTAATATGACTGCTATAGCATATATTATTCCTTGATTCCTATATAAGGCAAAGGTCTTAAGCAATTTGATTTCTTTTACAATTTAGAGCATAGGTTTCAAGCCTATTTTTTTTTCCTAAATTTCTTTGTTTTCTTTTCAGATGTATGTAAGAATTGTCACCATGTGATAGCCAGGCATGAATACACTTTTGGTGTGGTGGATGATTACCAGGTATAAGAGCCTTTCATTGATCAAGCACTAAATTTGTTTACCTTTTATTTACTTCAACTTTTTATCTTCTTGAGGCTCATGAAGCTTGTTAATTAATTTTCAACATTTAATTCAGTATACTTTCATACTTTATGACGTTGTTAATGAATGGACCACATTTGGTAGTATGTTGTGTGAATCCAGCCTATGTAGTTATTTAGTGGTTATGCTGTACAAACTCAGCCAGTTGGTTTAGTAATATAAACTATTATTAATTTATTAATTCAGCTTGAGTGCTGTCTAAATACAAACTGACTCTGGGCAGATGACAATGCAATAGACCATAAAAACAAGACAAATACATGTGTCCCAAGATAATGCTGCAGAATCCAATCTGAGCCAGTGACCAAGACCAGAGGTTTATTCTTCCAAGCTTTTAGAATCATGCTGGAGCCCATCCTCAGGAAACCTCTCTCTCTCCAAAATGTGTGACCTTCAAATAACCTAGCCCTATGCCTTGAATTGTACCTGGAAGCATACTGTCAACCACTGCAGCTCTTGAAGCAGAGATGTCATATAGGCATACTCGGGTATGCCAATCACTGGTTTTCAAAGGCAACCTCATGTAGAACACATTGCCTTGAGATGACTATGTGTGAATAATTGTCTGAAGGACCATTTCATCCAAAGAGAGAAACAACTGGTACATCAGAGCTGTACAAAGGCTCTCTTGGCCACAGCTGCCACGAGATCTTCAAGCCAGAGTCCAAGAGAAGTTCCAAAACTGCACCATTCTTAAAGGAGGAAGTGGTACTCTATCAAGAGTACACGTGAAAAATCCTTGGGAATATCAAGAGCCACTCAGCCTTAATAGGATTGAGTTGAAGTCAGGTCCTCCCCTTCTAGACCGGCATAGCTCCCAGGCACTTGGACAAGACCTTAACTGCCTCACTTGGTCAGCCTAGTCTTGATAAATATAATTGAGTGTTATCAGCATACTTTTGATACCAAACCCCAAATTGGCTGATGACCTCACTCAGCAGTTTCATGTAATACCGCTGCTTCACAAGCTGTACTTGCTGCCAAATTGCTTCTGGGTACAATTCAAGATGCTGATCATTATCTATAAAAACCTAGATGGTTTATGGGTTTATGGCTTTATTTATTTATTTATTTATTTATTTTAATTATATGCCGCCCTTCTCCCAAAGACCTCGGGGCGGCTCACAGAAATTAAAAATAATGACAACAATAAAAATAACTACTAAAATAATCAATTAAAATCTCCCAATTAAAATCACCCATCAGATCAGCAAATTTGTTGGAAAAGGCATGTCTTCAGGTCATGGCGGAAAGAGCGGAGGTCGGGGGCCGTCTGGAGCCCCGTGGATAACCCATTCCAGAGGGCCGGTGGGCCCACAGAGAATGCCCTCATCCTGGGCGCCACCAGCCGACATTGTCTGGCCGATGGCACCCGGAGGAGGGCAGTCCTATGTGAGCGCACAGGGCGGTGGGAGGAAGGCAGAAGGTGGTCCTGCAGGTACCCCGGGCCAATACCATGTTAATAACTTGAGGGACCCTCTGCCTCCCTTAGTATCTACCCAGCCAATTCAATCTGGATATCATCTCAGGACCCCAGAAGCATGCCTTCTCTGTACAGTACCTGGCTCTGGAATGAGGTTTCTCCCCAGATCTGAACAGCAACCATCCTACTGGTATTTCAAAGGGCGTTGAAGATTTACTTTTTCAGCAAGGATGACTGAGCCTCCTTTTAACTTGAGTGGTTTTCCTTTGTTCCCATCCAGTTTTGTCATTCTGCAATCTTTACCTTTCTTTTTGTCTTCGTTGTTTTTCTTATTTTAATGTTTTAAATAATTTCTAAACCACCCAGAATTGCTGTGAAGTAGGCAATATATCAATTTAATTTATGGTTCACACAGTCAGTCAGATGTTTAAATTGGATTTGGCATTTTTATCCACCTATTGGGTCCTTCCCAAGGACCTGGGATAGATAGACAAATATTGCTATTTGATGGTGTTAAGGGTATTGTTGCAGGATTTATTTTATGACAATAAGTGATATTTAATTATATTGCTTCCAAATAAATAATGACTTTACACAATCAAAATCATGGCATCAGATTTTGGCCCAGTTATTGCAAAGTGGTAGTTTTAGCAGTTCCTTGCGAACAACAGGGGGAGATAGAGGGCTTTTATATTTGATACCAATCTGATGTTATACCCACCATATCTTTTAAGGTGTTGGTAAGTAAGTAATTTAAAACATAGTTATTGGAATTTCTGAGAGCTATGATGTAGTGTGTCTAGAAGGCCTCAGGTTGAGGAAAGCTAACTGTTGCATCTCATTAAAGAAAAGAATGGATAAGCTTCCTGCAAATTCTTAGCACGTAGATCTTAATAACTTGAAAATGTTCACTTGTAGGATTGAATTTGTTAAGGTAGGTTTGTTTGAACCATGATCATTGTTACAGCTCATCGATTCCTTGGTTAACACAAATGAATATACTTATGCAGCAAATGAAACAAATTCTCAGTCACCCGGTATAAATATATCTTGTCTCTCTTTCCAGGAATACACCATGCTATGCATGCTCTGTGGGAGGGCAGAAGATTCTATCAGTATCTTGCCTGATGATCCTCATCTGATGACTCCATTGTTCTGAAGTGCCTTGATTTGATTTTTCTCAGCTATTGTATCCTGTGCTAAATGACCGAACCTCATGGAATATGACATTTACAGAACACAAAAGCCGACTGCTCAGTCCATGTGGGAAGTCAAGTGGTATGGGGTCAAAAAATGGTATCTTAGTTTACTATCATCAGAAGTGATCTCTGCAAGCTAAAGGAAGAGAGAGAAAAAGTTTCATTTGCTGAAAGCTTCATAGAAAAGGCAGAACCTCTGCCTGCTGCTTTGGGTCTTTAATGTTTTTTACAAGTCAGAATGCTGTGGTCAGTGTTATTGGCATCGTAGGGAATGCTGTGTTTTGCAGAAAGCTTTAAAAAGGATCAAAACAGGAGTACCTTTTTGTGACTGTCTACCCCAGTGCAATACCAACCAGTGCCCCCAGCTCTCCTATTTGAAAGAGGACTCCCTAAAAGGAAAGCATTCTGATCTGCAGGAGATGCAAAAAATGTATGAGAAATGTTATTGTTCTTGCAAAGGTGTTAGGGGAAAATTGCCTTTTCCAAAGCCATCCAGCACACTATGTAGAAATAGAGAAAAGGCAAAACCAGGTTACTTGAGGGATCGTCTCATCCCACTGGGATTGGCCTGTGCCATTTGTGCCAGCAGAGGAGGCATGCTGCGGGCCCTGTCAGCCTGATAATTCCAGCTGGCAGGGTCCAGGAGGAGGGCCTTCTCTGCTGTTGCTCCTGCCCTCTGGAACATCTCCTCCCCCCATGTGAGGTTGGCCCTTTTTGTAAAGGCCTAAAAATGTAGCGGAACAGCGCAATGGAGGTGGTTGGTTGAATAATAATGGATCCCACCTCTCCTCCACATACACCCCACGCTTCCCATGTGTCCTTGGTTTTAATGTCTGATTTTAACTTACGTTTTAACTATATATAATTGTAAGCCGCCCAGAGTTACCCTATGGTAAGATGGGTGACCAATAAATTTAATTAATTATTTAACAGAAAGCTTTAGAGAAGGATAGTACTAGTCCGTGTTTCTCGGCTGTTTCTGTGCCCCAAATGAAAGAAGACTCCATTTTCTTTCCAAGTTTTCCAGAATGTATGGTTGACTCATAGGACAGTCATGTAGCTTCACGCTCATTAGAAAAGGAACAGATGAAGAAATCTTGCTGATTCTAATCTAAATAATTGCATTGATGTGAACTTCCCAAGCCATGGGATACATGCCCTCTGATATGCTAAAGGCAGTTCCTGAGTCAAAGGGGGAAATTATCTTTTGTATTGGCACATCATATATTGGGTGATTTGTTTATAAAGTAAATGAAACAAAGCTGAAAAAAAGTTGGCATTATGGTACTTGTTTGCTTGGATTTCCTTTATCAATAGGACCTTCATTAATTTCATTGGGAAAGATACACATCAGTTCAGAAGATCAGAAAAGGGTAACTTTTTCACAGAACTGTATTTGATTCAGCAAGGCTGCCTTCTGCTGTTCGTTGATGGTGCCAGCCTGTGGTATATGGCCTATTTCAATTAGGATTTCACTGTGAAATTAGGTAGGGAGAGCTGATCTGAGACTAATTAAACTGAAGTTTCATCTTTAAGGAACTTAGTCAAGGGCCATAAATCTTTAGCCACTGAACCGTTTTTTGAATGCAAATTACCTTAAACTGCTATCAGCAAATGTAAGCTTCAGTTCTCCTATGTAAAATTAGAAAGGGACCTGGTGTCTGCTAATGGATTCTAGAAGCATTCCTCTCTATGGAAATTGGTCCTTTTAGAAAGACTGTACTGATCCTGATAGTGGTATCTGCCCTTACTGTAACTTGCATTAGCAAACTTCTCTGATGTGGATTGGATGACTGCTTTTTGCCAAAGATTTTGAAGATGATGCATGATTACTTTGCCTGCCCAATGAAGCAACTAGGAACTGATTTTTAACTGCAAGACTAAAACTAAAACGGGTCATCTTGCCAAGCTATTTATGAGCATAGAATATCAAACACTCAAGGCCAGTTGGCATGGTAAATCGGTGGAAGGAATAGCTCTATAATTGCCAGACACTGGAAATAAATTATAAGACTGTCACTTTGGGAAGTATAATAGATCTTGTAACGCAATTCTGGTTACATACTTAATTACAATTTGACCTAAACTGGTATTGTTGATAATCTGCTATCTAAATTATTGAAATGTGCAAAAAATATTTGAATGTATTTAGAAGTTTGTTGTGAAATTAAGATTTCTTTATTCTTTTTGTTAGTTAAGATAGTGAGCACGGGTAATAATTGCTAACCTGCTCGACATCGCTAATGCGTGCTGAAAGCATCGAGGGACATATACATACTTGGTGGTGGTGGCGCTGGGTGAAGGCGGCCGTATGCGGGGTGTGGGGTGGTGGTATCGGGTGCGACGGAATTAGGGCCGTTCCGGAGGACACAGCGGCAGCACCTTCCAGAACACGCTGAAGACCAATTACGCCCCTAAAAGAGGGGCGTGGTAATAAACAAGGGCGCGGTCCTAATGAGTTAATGGAAAGATGGGCTATATAAACGCCCCATTCTTGGTGTAACGTAGCGCCGATTTCAGTCGTGTTTACAAATCACAGTGTGTAGCCGGATGCGGATGCGAATAAACCAGCGTGCCAAAAAGAGCTGAATAAGGCTGTAGCTGTGTTTTGATTGCGTCTCGCACGGCATTCCTGAGATATAGATGACTTTAATTTTTGTCAAGAGAGCATACAGCATACATATTATCCTCTCTTAATGACCACAATTGAGCCTGGAATTTTGATTGTAAGTCATTGTGGTCATTAAGGGAGTCATCATGTGACCTGACTTGCGTTTATGATCGTTTTTACAGTCATTGTCATTTAGCAAATCCATTCTCGCAAGTGGGTGTTTTTGCCAGAACCAGAAATCAGCCAAAAAACCTTGCAAATTGCGGTCACATGTCTCTGGGATGCTGCAACTGGTCATAAATGCAAGCCGTTTGTCAAGCATCTGAAATTCGATCATATGATTATGGGGTGTGGCTGTGTACAGCAGTCATAACTGTGAGGACGTGTTGTACATAACTTTTTGGTTCCTTCATAAGTGAATGGTCGTTAAGTGAGGTTCTTTGTGCTAAAATAAAGGTAAGTGAAACCAATTGAGTCCATTGTGTCTGAGCCTTGGAAGACTAGCAGCATCTTAGGCAGGATCACAGATTGTTTCAGACAAAACTTCCTAACCATCCACATTGCTTGGTGATAATTTTATCTTAAAATTGTATTGATCTCAGTTCCTGGAATGTTGGAGAAAGTGGAATCACTAATGAGAGTAATGGGTTTATTTTTTTAACTTAAAAGGAGCCCCTTTAGGACCTGACCTTTTGCTTAAAACCATTAGGCACACATTTGTTTTTGTTCTTATGTTTTGCACTTGGTGCTTAAGAAGAAATGTTTCTGGCAGCAAATCAAAATCTGTGAAGAGACTTGGATTACTTTTCTTCTCTTGGCATTTCAGAGTGTGTGAAGACTCCTGAAAACTCTCAGTTCAACATTAGAAGGGACTGATTCAAGAATTAAGGCTTGCAGCTATTCACTGTATTCCGTGTCGGAAGGATGGCTTATGGTGTCCATATTGTATTACTTTATATACTCCCAAAGTGATGGTGGCAGATTTACTGATTTTAATTTTAATGGAGAACAATTGAGCCAGCCTGCAAAAGCTGGACTTGCTCTTTATGGTCCCCAACCTTTGTGGCCCGGTGGGTGAGGAAGAGGGGAACTGGGCCATGTGAGTGGCGGACCGGCACACGTGTACATGTGCAACTCCACTCACATGAGCGGCAGGCTGGTGCACATGTATGTGCATGCCAGGCAACCACTTGTATGAGATCTCAATATTCATTATTTCATCCTTATTGGAGATTCTTTTATAACTGATTTTGGTGTTACTTTTTCTGGAATGCATTAGAAAGACCAATGAAGTGAATGGAGTTACATTCATGGCACAGTAAGACTGAAATTCCATGCACAATTACAGGAGTAAGTTTAATTGAATTTAGTGGGACTTCTGACTATGATTGTACTGTATAGTGATATCTCATTAAATTAGCTGGAAATGATTATTTCCTCCCATTTTTAAACACAGATTAATGTGGCCTTTTTGTGGAAAAATTAAGAGTATTAAAAATGAAGATATTCCTTGACGGGAAGAGAATGCCCTGCAGATCTTGAGTCCCAGAACCATATCACAGTGTGAGCTTCTTCTATTTCCTATAATACGTTCACCTGAAGACACTGATAAAAACTATTTTGTATCCTTATTATTCAACCATAGTGTTATTGACAAAAGTGGGAGAAACTAGAAGGTAAATTTTGATATGCTTGGCTAGATCGCTCATATCAGTAATGGTGGAGTATATTGTTTGATTGGATCGAACAACAGTCTCCTAGAGAAGCTAGTTTTTCCTTTACTTTCAATACAACCTCTGATTAATTATTTAGGAAGGAGAGAAAAAGAACAGTCCCTTGTAATGAATTTTAATCAGGAGAGTCTGTCTTTCAAACCATCCTCTTTGCAATTAACTCTGCAGATACTCTGAGATCAAAGATGTTGTTTAAGTATGTAATATGTGTGTTACAAGGCATTGCTGGATATACTCCACTGAATTTAATAGGAATTCTGTGGTTGTTGCTATCCATGTGCTCCCTATTCTTCCCATTTTCCAATTAAACTCTTCATCCTTGTGTTATTTTTATTGGGGGTTTTTTAATGCAAGTTCCTTATAGTTCAGAGGTTTGGTGGTAACAAATTTGTAAAATAAATAAACTAAACTATAGACTTGGCTTCATTATTTTAAAAGATAATTTCTTATTAGAGCTTGCTTGACTGGAAAGGCTGCTTGGATATTCAGGATTTGTTACTTAATAATGGTTTGTATTTCTAGGATTTGGGCAGAATTTTACAGTACTGTAAATCCAGACCTTCTCTTTCTGTAATTCCTGGAGCTGAGCTTGAGGGGATTTTGGCAACAGGCTAAGAACAATCTACAGGTAGTCCCTGACTTACAGCCATTAGTGACTGTTCAGAATTGCGACAGCACTAAAAATAGTGACTCTGTAAGTCACTGTTCCTGTAGTGACTTACAGCACGTGACTGTTGCATCATCCTCATGGTCACTTGATCAAAATTTGGGCATGTGGCAACTGGGTATGTATTTATGATAGTTGCAGTGTCATGGGGTAACGTAATTGCCATTTGCAATGTTCTTGGCCAGCTTCTGACAAGGAAAGCCAATGGGGAAACTGAATTTGTTTAACAACCATGTGATGCACATAACTGCAGTGATTCTCTTAACAACCATAGAAAAAAGGTGGTAAAATTGGGCGGACTCACTTAATAACTGCCTTGCTTAGCAATGAAAATTCTGGCCCCATTTGGGGGCCATAAGGTGAGGATTACCTGTAGTTGATTGAGCCAGTTGAGTCTGACACGTAGCAGCTTATTATAAGATTAACACACCCAAAATGTCAGCTTTGGAAGCCATATTAGGCCAGAAGCTTCAATGCTGCCACCTTCTCACGTGTGGGAAAGTAGGAGGGGGGATTAAGGAGAGGGGTGGTTGTTGTTTTTTTATTATTATTATTATTTTTATTTAGATTTATATGCCGCCCTTCTCCGGAGACTCAGGGCAGCTTACAATGCGCTAAGCCATAGCCTTCATTCTTTTGTATATTTATACAAAGTCAGCTTATTGCCCCCACAAACTGGGTCCTCATTTAACCTACCTTAGAAAGGATGGAAGGCTGAGTCAACCTTGAGCCTTGGCGAGATTCGAACCTGCAGTAATTGCAGGCAGCTGGTCTTAATAACCAGCTTAATAACAGAGTGCCTTAGACCACTGTACTACCAAGGCTCTTTAGTAGACATAATAGCATTCTTCCTGTTGGTCAAGCTCAGGGTGATCCAGCATCTGGAGAAGGAGTGGTCAGGGGGCTGGGTAGAGATGGGACGGACGTTGATTGGAGCGTGTGATCGACTGGGAAGTGAGGGGATAGTTTTGGGGGTTTTGACTTACTGAGGGAAAACCCGGGCTCTTTATATTCGGGTTTTCTCAGATGTGCCAGTTTACCTATTCTAGTAAAGAGAACTTTGGAAAATGCTTGCTTTACTCGGACTTGGGGTTTTCTGGAACGCTGACATAAAAAGCCAGAAAAACTTTGGAGGAATGCCTCCATCAGTAGGTTAAACCCTCCTCCTATTATTCCTTGCAGCTCTTATGCTGCAAAAGGATTAGAATATTAAGTGACTAGCATTAAATCCTTATAAGAAATGTCATCCTAGAGTAATTTAAGGAACCAAGAAGGAATTGGGGCATCTGAAGGCAAACATAGGAAGTAGAGATGTGGATTTATTTTCCCCCAAAAGTTTTCCAGAATGGGTGTTATTAACGGCAGCTTCATTTAAAAATAAACAGAGCAGAAAGTTCTTCAACTCATTTATTTGACTTGTGAAATCAACAGTACCCAGCAAATGAGAGAGCCAAGGAATCAATACTTTTACACTTTTCAAGCCTCCTCCTTGAAGCTTTTAGAGGAGACTGTCATTCAGTAGAAGTCTGATGTTGCCTCTGCCAGGATGAAGCACCTCAAACACTCAGAAAAAAAAAGAGAGAGAAAATTTGAGTATGCCTGTTTCTTTGGTTCCATCAGGAGAAGAGAAACTTCTGATTACAGGGCAAGGAATCCCTAGTCATTTTTCTGATCTATGTAAAGGCTACTTATATAACGTTGGGGATTCTGCTTTTTTCTTATTTGGCAAGCTTCAGGAGGCGCTGGATATCAGGCTCAATGCTGCTAGTGAGGAACTTGGAGCTGTACCGCTTGAAAGGTTCTCCTTCAGGTCCCACCAGGAACTTCTCAAAGTTCCAGGAGATGTCATAGCGATGCACGGGGCTCCACAGGATGAACTTTGGCTCCAACATGAAGCAGGACGGATTGTCATCTGGGTAAGGGAGTTTATCCTTCAGGTAGGCAAAGACAGGATGGGTGTTGTTGCCATTCACTTCACACTTCTGACAAAGAGTAAAGTTGGGTTCAAACCCAGACCCGGGCCTCACATATTTCAAGCTATGGAGGATCTCTTCATTTGTGCAGTTTTCCTGTTTAGGAGGAAGTAGAAAGCAGGATGAGAACTAAAGCACCCTGCATGGGCGACAAAGTTGGCCTCTCCCTTGCTTGTCTTGAGGGCATCCATGTAGAGTTAGGTGCATTTTGTACTGATTCTACCCTCAAATACAAGTTTCCTTGGTCCTTCACTTAACTGCAGTGATTTGCTCAAGAATCGTGACCAAAACAGTTGTAAAATTGGGTGCGACTCACTGAACAATCGCCTTGCTTCGCAACAGGAATTCTTGACCCAACTGTGATCCTAAACCAAGGACTGCCTGTATATGATAAAGCGAATAGGCATGAACTATGGAGTATTTTGCATATATAATGCAGTTGAGTCCATGTTGTTGAATGCAACAAGAGCAGCATATGATGAAAGTATAGCATGTGTGAGAATAAATGGAATGATTAAAGAATGGTTCAACACCGAACAGACCAGGATATGTGCAAACCCTTGATCCTTTAATGTATTTATGGACAATGGATAGTGTAACAAGTACATAAGGAATGCTTGTGACACTATGGGATATGAATATATAGATAGTCCTTGCTTAACAATCCCAATAGGGACAAAATTTCTGTCACTGACCAAAGTAATCAGGTGAAAAACGAACACAATTGCACCATTTAACAAACAACAGTTCTGGTAGTACTGGTTGCGGTCATTAGGTGAGGGCTGTACTGTCATTAGGCAAGGACCTCATGCCTCTCTTGCCCTACTGCACATGCCTCTGCTTCAACTCTCCCCTCCTCTTCCCCCATCTCTACCTTTTTGGCCACCTTGTGCTCCACGACTCCTGCCTACCCCTTGCACAGTGACAGGGAGGCCTTGTGTGGAATTGAGAAGGGCCAACACTTGCCTCAGCCAGTTGCATCTCACCAGCAATGGAAGAAAGAAGACGGTGAAGGTCAGCTGGGGGCAGGGGGAGGGGCTGCAGGGGGAGGTAGAGACAAAATGCAGTGCATCCAAAAGGATAGAAATGGGGCGGGGGAGAGATAGATCAGTTAGAGGAATTGAAGTGCCCCTGCAATCAGTATTGCAGGTGGGATGCCGAGCACACCAGTTTTCCTCATGTGACCATGGGGACATTGCAATGGCCATAACTTTGAGGACCAGCCATAGCTACCATTTGTTCAGCATTATCATAACTTCAAGTAATAGATTAACAAATAATAGTTAAGAGGGGACTTCCTATATTTGTATTTTTGGATGCGGATAATGCTGCATTGCTGGCTTGCTGGAACTTTAATGATTTGCAACCAATACTAGATAGATTAACACAAGGAAAATGAATCTGAAAATTAATGCCTCATAGAAAAGATAATAATGCTTGACAGAGAAAATGATTCATTTAATGACCGTTCAAAGTTACATCACTGAAAAAAGTGACTTATGACCCTTTTTCACACTTAAACATCCATTGCAGCATCCCCATGGTCACGTGATCAAAATCCAGATGCTTGGCAATTGGTTCATACTTATGATTGTTGCAGTATCCCAGGGTCATGTGATTCAACCTTCTAACAAGCAACATCAGTGGGGAAACTAGTTTCACTTAACTGTGTTACTGCAGTATTCACTTAAATGTGGCAAGAAAGGTCATAAAATGGGGCAAAACTCATTTAAATGTTTCACTTAGCAACATAAATTTTGGGCTCAATTGTGGTTATAAGGGGCGTGCATAAGCACACCAGCGGCTTACCTTCCCTGTCCTAATGTTCCCTTTTATTCGTAACCATTTCATGTATTCATAATGACGTTTATACTTATGTCTGTTATCTAATACATGCTTGACAAAAATAAATAAATAAACTACATAAATAAAAAAATAAGTTGAGGACTACCTGTATTACTATTCCTGATCTTCAAAGTCTGACAATTGAAACTAAATTCTTGTATAGAATATTGGCTCTATGTACTGTATATACACTGTATATACACAGTGAAAAACTAAAGACAGTAGGTGTATCTGTGTACCTTGATAGATCATATGCTAAAGCTGGGGAAATGGAGAAACTGTAAGATCTGCAAATGCTTCTAGAAAAGTCCTGGGTAGCCAGTGGTTTATTGTGTTGAATGTTGAAAGACCATGCTTTTGCCTATTTTATTATATGGAAATGAGTTAGGGATGTCAGAACAAGCATAAAAGTTAAATGAAGTGGAATAGGTTGTTTAAGAAGCGTTTATGTTACAACACAATGGATAAGGTGATGAATTAATGAGGATTGAATACAAAAGTGAATGACCAATATGAAAGATTTTAACATGATTTCATCATATAAAGAGAATAAATAAGGACCAAGTTGCAAAACAAATACAAGAAGGAAACGTGAATGGGTTTAGAGAAACGGGAAGGCCAAGAAAGTTGTGGATGGATGGAATTGGTGAGATCCAAAAGAAAAGAAGAGAGGTGAGAAGTTTAACAGATAAAACACAGCATCAAATTGATGTATGAGTTTGGTGGAAATGAGAATAGCTTCAAGAGCAGAAGGATTTCTTATTGATATAGATTAGATTTCCTTTTTTCTCTTATACCATCAATGATCAAATATCTAATAATTCTTTATCTTCTCATTATTTAAGTTGGCCATATTTATCCATGTATTGTCTATCCTTTTCCTTATAACAGCAAATCCCCCACAGTGCCAGATTCTCTTAAGTTCAACCCAGCGTGAGAATTGAAATCAACCACATTTCATGGACACAAAATTGGAAAAGGTTGCCCAAGATCATTTGGTTCAAGAGTGACGTTCAGAGGAGTAACGTTAACCAAAAACATAATTTTGATCTTAAATACTGTAATACACATTTTAAATAGCACTTTCTTTGTTATTAACAAAACTCTCCTTTCAGAAACAGGGAAAATGTTTTTAAAAACCCGTATCTCTGTAAAAAAACATGCTTTTTTCTAAATAGCAGAAGCAGCACAATGTCTGCTTGATTAATGAACTTTACATTGAAATGTGTTTATGGAGCAACTTGTTGCTCTCTTTTAAGAATCTTTCAGGGTTGAACAATGTATTGTGCTCTGTCCACTCCTTTGACCTTTTCAGATGAGTAACATCCCAGCAAGGGGAAATGAAAAATATGTCAGTTATAGAATACAAGTGTTATCTGATCTCCCTATTGTATATAGGTCCCACCCTTCCCAGCTCCCAAGTTAGTGAGTACAGGATAAAAATCCTGGTTTCTAAAAATGTAACGAAGAAAGAACCACCATTTCTCAATTGAATAGAAACTGATTTTACAGTTGCAGAGGAAAGAACCACCTATTGTCACAAAAAGTCATGAATAGAGAGCGAATTAAAGGACTTACCTGGTAGCCAAACTGATTGCAAGGAAAACCCAGTACAACCAGCCGTCGAGGGTATTTGCTCTGCAGCTGATTCATCTGGGTGTAATCCCTCACTGTAGTGGCTCAGAAAGATGCCACATTCTCTATCAAAACCACTCTTCCCCTGAAATTGTTGAAATCCACTTTCTCTCCTTGGAGATCAGTGGCACTGAGATCGTAGAAAGATTTGGCTATGGGAGTCATCATTGTGTAGAGTAGATTGAAAGGGGAGCAATGTGAGATGCTTGCAGATATGGTTATCTGCTTCAAGTGCTCTTCTGTATACTCATATGCTGGGTTGCACCAAGGCACCTTTCTTCATAGGGTAATCTGCAGAAGGTGGAGCCCCTCTTTGTTACTCATCTAGCTCTTTCCTGATTGGGAACAAAGCAGCAGGTCAGGGTGATATGAGTTCCATTGCAAGCCTGCAATCTAAGCCATTGTGATACTTTGGACAATCCTCAATAATTCATGCTGCTTACAACAAAAACACTCACTTTAAGTGATCGATGGAATCCATGAGATGCAACAACTTTTTTTTTCCTTTGAATTTCAGGGCTTTGTAGAGAATGAAGCCATGCCTGGCATTTTAAGTTTTCCAAAGAAAAGTGGAAGTCAAGAGGAAAAAATTGTTGACTTTTTAAAGTCATATAAGTGACTATGTGGATATATAGCTAGGAATTTTATCGTAGTTGTACCTTTGGCTCAAGAGGTGGCAACCTGGAGTTCAACATTCTTAGAAGATACCACTTGAGACCATAAACCAAAAAAAACGAGTGTGGTTGTGTGAGAGGCATTGCTTCTGATTAGACTTGGGTTGATAGAAATCCACAATTTTGGATATTTAGGGGTAGGCAAAGAAAGCAGATTCTGGAGCAAGGCTATTTCCTAGTGAGAACATCTCTTTTTATGAATGTATGTGGGAGCCATTCTGGAGGTTGTTCTGGGGAATCACTCCATTGAAACGTCTGAATAATATCTATGAAGTTTTTCATAATAGTCACATTTTTCTTGGCGTTCCAGCACAAGTAGGAATAAAGAACTTGCACGTCCCATATGACTGAAATTATTTAAGAGGAAAAATAAAACAGCTTCTCTATGACAAAATATGCCCTTGATATGAACAACCAATCAATCTCCTGCAGGGTCATCCAGCCACTTGACGGATAGTTTATTTTGATAGGTGTCAACAATTACTAGCCCTACACAGTAGATACAGCTATAAACCATTTATGACAGATATCTGTTCATTTTGCATTCTATAACAAAAGTGTTTTAGTGAAAAAGATTAAAATAACTGTTTACCTTATGAAAAAAAAAAGATTTCTACATATATTCCATGTACAGTTCTTATTTCTATATTTTAAATCAACTGAAAATGGTGAGCTTCCTTAAATTGAAGGCAGACCTGACCTGTTCTGAGAATTGCAACACATCTGAAAAGAAAAATGACACATCCTCTTTCCTAGCCAGATAATGAGAGCCCTTTTGCTTCTCCTGGCACAAGAACATGCACTGAATTATTAACTATTGGATCAGATTCCCGGAGAGCTAAGGAGGGAGAGGGAAGACGTGTAACCAGAGCCCAGTAATCAGATATGATTTTCTAAAGAGGGAGGAAAGCCAACTCTTATTAATGCACGTTCCACCAGTGCCAAGGGAAAGCATTCTGAGAACACGAGGACAAAGGACCATTTTGTCCAAACACCAAGTAGTTACGTCCACAATAGTCGTTGAGTTCACATATTGTGCTAAGTGTTTGCTTCATAATGTTTCATTCCACAAACCATAATGCCTGCTTGTTGCCAAACTACGGTATAAGCCATAAACCAGATTTTAAAATTCCTGCTGAAATAAATGTCGTAACAATTCACAGCAGTCTTTCCTTCTGCTAAGATTAGGCTTCCCTTTTTCTTATATATACCTAACTTCTGTGAATCAATCTGGATCATACTTTAATGAAGAGAAGGCTAAGTCATCCAAGATAAATGACAAATCTTACTGTGTAGACTGTATTTTCATATTTACAAAATGTGAAGTACAAACATGATCCAAAAGTGGAATGTCACTGATTTTAGTAATTCAAATTTCTGGCGGGCTTAGTTTAAATGGGGAGAATATATTTCTTTTTACAATGTATTATTTTTAAACTGGTGCTGGAAACAGTTGTCTTAATCCAAAACACTTTCAGTGATTGGTACTAACACATTTGAGCATTAGCCTAATTCTTGTGGGCTCCTGAGCAAGGATCGGTGTTTGTTTTGGTTGTACTGATGCTTAAACCTGGTTTCCTCACTTCATTTGGAGTTTTGTATGTCGAAGGACCTATTTATGGTATGAATTTTTTAAAAAAGATACTATGCATCATTATTCTAAATACAATGAGAAAGGTTTGCAGTTTGCTCTCCCTGTGCTTCAAGTCAAAATTCCCTGAGCTGAATTCCACTCCTGGTGGCCTCCAGAAGATGGTTTTGTTTTTAAGGCAACAAAAATGGGAAATTACTAGATGACAAAAATACTATGCTTTTAGTTAAATATATTTGTAAGTGAATTAGGCTTTGTTCAAAAACCTTCAATACATTATATTACACATACTTACCGCAGCAAGAATCACATTCGCAAAAAAATTGGAAATAAAAAAATGTACCCTCAGACGAAACAATAATTAGGAAAATTCTAGAATGCGCAGGGATGGATAAAATGACTATGGAGTTGAAAGAGAGAAAGGATTCGGAATATTATGAAATAAAATGTACAGTTGGCTTGAAAATAGAAATCAGAAGAAGAAATGTTTAACTTAATATTGATGAAACTTAAAGTAACTGAACAATATTAAATAAAGAGATGTAAATATAAACTAATATAAATGTGTAGATAAGAACAGTGAATATTATGTGTGTGTGTGTGTGTATGTATGTATGTAGGTCTTTTGTTATTCGGGTTTTCTCCCGTGTAAAATTGGAAATGTCTTGGCGACGTTTCGACAAAGTCTCATTCATCATCTTCAGGCTGGTGTTTTCGGCTTCGTGCTTCCTAGGAAGAAACAGCTGCGATCACACATTGCTCCTAGAAGCACGAAGCCGAAAACACCAGCCAGAAGATGACGAATGAGACTTCGTCGAAACATCGCCAAGACACTTCCAATTTTACGCGGGAGAAAACCCAAATAACCAAAGACCTACATACAAACACACGCGAAAACCTCAGAAAACACACACACACACACACACACATATATATGTTGGAGTAATGCGATTATCCTACTAGAGTAGTAAATAGAAATGATAGAGAACTACAAAAGCAAAATACGTAAGTCGATACGAAATGCTGTAAAATTACCATTAGTGTTATGTAATGTTCAATACATTATGTCTTGACATGTTTTGTTTTTATATGTGTGTGATTGTTTTTTGTGTTGTTTTGAAAGACAAACTGTTTAATAAAAATTATTTTTTAAAAAAAAAGAATTTAGGCTTTGTTCAGCTCTCCCCACTACATTAGGAAACACAACTGAAAGATGAAGTGAATAGAAAGTATTACAGAACCCTGCTCTAAGTGAAGTTCTCATAAGCATGTATTAGATTAATTCGCTGGTAAGGAAATACAAGAGCCACCAACCACTTTAAGGATCTTTATTTGTAAATGTTTTGTTAATTTGTTGTTTAAAGTAATGAATTACAATGACAGGTTATACAAGGAAACCCAGTCAGAGTGCCAAGTTCACAAAGTACAGACACAGCAGAGGATTCAAAAAGTTGTACATTTGGTTGGATCCCACGACAAATTATGTGCAACTTTCTGCTGCACACAGAGAAGTTGCTATGGCCCATGACTTGCAGGACAGAAGGAGCCTCAAATACTGGATAGCATTACCTTTTTCAGAAACCAGTCCATTTCCCTTCCCAGGTATTGGCCTGAAATTCACTTTTGTGACCACAAGAGACCATCATTCTAATTAGCGACACCCCCCCCCCAATATTCATATCGAGTGGGAGATGTTTGCTTTCATTAAGTTGTCAACCATGCAGATTGCAGTTTTCCAAACCAAGGATTGGCAACCAGGCTGGCTCTTGTAGATTTAGATAATGAGAACTCATGTACTTCCATCAATGGGCAAAAAGCTTCATGTGCTCCTTCTCGTTTCATTTTCTGAACACGTAGAATTTAATGTGGGGGTCAATTTTGTGCATTGGTAGCAGCATCAGCAGCTATGCTCTCAGTTCCTAAATAGAGCAAGCAGATCAACATGATGCTAAATTGCAACAGGCAGAACAGGCTAGGGGGCCATTCCATGGATCTCCCCAACGACCAATGCTTTTATTTCCACGTTGGCTTGAAGAACTTGGGTCTTTTTCAAAGCTTTGGCAATTTGAAGTGCTGCCTGATCCCTTCAATGACATACCTCTCCTTCATAATTTTAGCCAGGCCTTCTTGAAAGTAACGCATTGCAAGTTTTAAAAAACCAGGAACTGCTTCACATATTTTAGTAACCAGCTAGGAAGACACCTGGTTTTTGCTTTGCTTTATTCCTATCTCAAACTGTACTGGGCATGTCATCCCACATAATCTTTCCATGGCAGAGATTTTAAAGCAGTCTTTAAAAACTGCCAATTGTAGTCATCAAGGGTAAATCTGTTCACCATCAAGGCAAGAAAGAATTGGGCAGGGGAAGGATAGTCATCAGGCCTTGGGCAGTGAGCACATAAGAACTGGCCTTCAGCCTTCATTTAACTTTTCAAACTCATCATACAGACAAAAGCAACCAAGAGCAAATAATGCTCCAAAGAAGTAGCCCAATTATGTTTGGGCTTTGAAAAAGATACATTAAAATAAATTAAAAAACCAAATGCTTTTTCTTCGGTCTGTCCCATTTTCTTCGGTCTTTTCCTTTTTCCTTCCCCATGACAGACTTCTAGGTTCTCAGACCCTATTCACTATAACCCAACCTTTACAACATACTTTGGGTCCTAATAAAGCTACAATAAATTAATAGCTATGTGTATGTCTGTGTCTACAATTTCTCAAGTATCAAACTAGTTCTGGCAAGAAGTAGTTCCTCTGTGAAACCAGCAACTATAAAACTTGTAGTCTCCCTCAGCAATCTGTAGCACAAGAGTCCTTCTGCCAATAACAGGCACTGTTGGGTAGAATATCAGTGTTTCCACTTATTGTAATGGCTTGATACCAGTTCAAATCCATCCAACCCA